ACAGGCACTCTCACACCCTGAGTCACACACCCCGACTGAGTCACACACCCCGACAGGCACACTTGCATACTCTGACAGGCCCACTTGTGTGCCCCAACCGACTCACACACCCCGACAGGCAAACTCGCACGCCCCGACTGAGTCACACAGCCTGACAGGCACACTTGCACACCCTGACAGGCTACACTCGTGTACCCCGACCAGCACACACCCCAACTGATTCACACACCCCGACAGGCACTCTCACACCCTGAGTCACACACCCTGACCGAGTCACACACCCCGACAGGCACACTCACACCCTGACCGAGTCACACACCCCGACTGAGTCACACACCCCTACAGGCACACTCACCCTGACCGAGTCACACACCCTGAGTCACACACCCCGACAGGCACACTCACCCTGACCGAGTCACACACCCCAACTGAGTCACACACCCCGACAGGCACACTCACCCTGACCGAGTCACACACCCCGACTGAGTCACACACCCCGACAGGCACACTCACACCCTGACCGAGTCACACACCCCGACTGAGTCACACACCCCGACAGGCACACACCCTGACCGAGTCACACACCCCGACTGAGTCACACACCCTGGCAGGCACACTTGGGTGCTCCAACTGATTCACACACCCCAACAGGCACTCTCACACCGAGTCACACACCCCGACTGAGTCACACACCCCGACAGGCACACTCACACACCCTGACCAGGTCGCACACCCCGACAGGCACAGCTATGCACCCTGACCAACTCGCACACCCCAACAGATGGACTCCCACACCCTGACAGACTAAGTGATGTTAGAAATTTCATCCCAGAAAATGCATAAAACTGAACAATCTTCCCAAGTAAGATGCACTACTGTATCAATAGATCAGTGGTTCTCAGGCTTGAGCACACGTCAGAATGTTCTGGAAGGTTTGTTCACGCTCACACTCCCGGCCCCTCCCTCTGTTCTGACCACCAGGCATTTCCACTGAGTCCTGGTGGTGGTGGTGCTGTGGGCAGAATGAGCCGGGCAGAGGGCTTGTGGCTTCTGGGCGCAGTTCTAACATTTCTTGCACTACTGAATGTTTGTGAATGTTCTGGAGTGTGTAGATTTCCTAGTAAAGTTAATTGGCCAATTAAATAAGTTCAATTAAACATGTTCCAACAGTGAATGTGCTCGGCTCCTAACCAAAAGGCTAGCTGTTAGAGTCCACCCAGAGGTGCCTCGGAAGAAAGGCCTGGCAAATTAAACGAATAATATTGTGAATAAGAATCAGCACAGAGCTGGTTTCTGGGAGGCGGAGATCAAGTGTTTCTCCACTTTCCGACTTCTCCGCTTTCTTAGACTCCAGCTGCTCCTTCCTGCCCGGAACTTTCTGTGCTGAGCTCAGTACTTTGCTGCAGCGTCGCAGGGAACTCAGACTGTCCCTGTGGTTGTGTGGTCTATTAGGGTGAAGGATGCAACTCAGAAGTCAGGAAGTCACTGGGGAGCAGCGTGGACAGGCGCATACGGCAGAGGGAGGCGGGGGAGGCTGCCCTCCAGGAAGCTCGCCTCCAGGATTCTCGTCCTCAGGAAGCTTGGAGGGGCCTCGGGTTCCGCCTCACCAGCTCCTGCGCCTTCACACAAACCTCAGTTGTGACCAGTGCAGCACAGCGGGGCTGGGGTCACTCTGAGCCCATAGACCACCCGGGCCTTTGGCCGTGGCTCTCTTACACGGCTAACAGCCGGAGGGTCATGCCCCCTGCCCGCACATTTGTCCGTAACTCAGTCGTGTGTCAGTGCGCATCTTTGTCCCATCAGTCCATTGTATCGTAGGGCAGAAACTCTCAGGGCGGGCCCCTCAGGCCTGCGGCAGGCGTCCATCTGCCGCCCATCTGACCTGGTCAGCTGCCAGAAGTCGCCTCAGCTTTACCTTTCTGGCGTCTGATGAAATTTAGCCGAGAAGGTTATTCCCTTGCTCTGGGCTGCCCTTGAGGCATTTACACACTGGTGGGTTTCCCTGCTGCATGGCCCATTCACTCATTCCTTTACCTTCAGCTGCTACTGCTCCTTCCTTCCACGTGTCATTCATTTTTACCCCAACTTTTCCACCTGGGGAAGGGCCGTCAGGTTCAGCGCTGTGCTGGCCTGGATGGCTGGTAGGGAGACCAGCCCAGCAGGCGCCTCCCCTCCGTCCACTCCATCCGTCCAGGGTGGGGTCCCACAGGTCCAACACCCACAGCGTCTCGACCGCTGGACAGCATTCGCTGCCGTCTGCTCCTGAGAAACCAGCCGCCGAGAACCCCGTGGAGCACAGTTGTGCTCTGACAGACGTGGGGTCGCTGTGACACAGATGGGCAAGGATGTCATGTCCGTGCGGTTTGGTTTTGTACTCTGCCTCATGGTTCTGGTGGAGGGGACTTGTTCAGAGCCCCGGCGCATCTGCGGGATCCACTGGGATGCTTTGGGGCGAGTTTTATCCAGGGGGTACGTACATTAAGGCTTCTGCTCTTGGTGTGGTTTATTCATCTAACACAAAGGTGCTGGGCTCGTGGTGCTGGTCGCCAGCCTCGGGTCTGTCGATGCTAACCCTGTGCTCCAGCCTTGCCGCTTCCTTAGCCGCGTGCAGCAATGATAGCGCCCACTTCCGTGTGTGTGTTCCTCTTCCCAGTGCTGGTGCTGGGTCAGCATTTCAGCATTACCCTTAGCAGAGCTCAGGTGGCTTTCGCTGGAGGGCATCGTGGTGGCGGGGAGCAGTTGCAGTAATTGTAAGAATGTCCATCGTTGACATGTAGGGCTAGGTAAGTCAGAGGGTGCTGCATCAAGTGAGGGCTGAACAGTGACTCTGTTTGCACAGTTCACTGTGTTTCTGTAAACGTGAAGAGTGTCCTGACATCTGTCTTCAGTTGCGTTCCTTCATGGAGGAGTGCTGGCTTCTCGTTCATTTTACTAACGACAGATGACTGACTTCTATTTTCATAAAGAAAAAGACCTGAAACACGGGGTGCGTTCCTGACCTGGCCTTAACAGTGAGCTGGGTGTCCTCCGACATGGTCATCTGCAGGCTGAGGCTCCCTGCCGAGACCTGTCTGGTGACGTGAGGGTCAGCAGGCGTGGTGGCCAAGTGCCCAGTGCCCCTGCAAACCAGGTCCACATAGGGAACTCTGGAGACGGGCGAGGCCAGGGCTCCCTGGGGGCCAGTGGGCATCCCCCACGCGCAGAGGGACAGCGGGGGCCGTGGAGGCTGCTCGCTTGCTCCAGCGCCTGGTGATGTGGCTCTGACCGTTTGTCCTTACATGTCCACTGTCACCGTTGCAGCCTGAAGCGTGCCAGTTCTCTGAACGTTCTGAATGTGGGCAAGGCAGCCGGAGACCGTTTCCAAGTAAGAGCCCGCCCTGTCCTGGTCGCCTTCTCCGGGAGCTGGGGCCCACTGTCCTCTCAGCAGAGTATCTCTGACGGCAGACAGATAGCCATAATAATGCCATTTTAGTGTTTTGCATCAGATATTGCTATACTCGTGGACAAACATTCTTAGTATATTAATGACCTTTAAAGTAGTCTGACCTAATTAAAAAGTGAAGTATTCCGATAAAGTAGAATAAAGCTTGACCGATGATTAATCTGTGTGACTTCAGCCTCTGGTAAGTTCCAAACTAACCCTGTCCAGTCAGGCTGTTCAGAGTGTGACTAACAGTGACTAATACACTCTGACACTCAAATCTTTAGCACTTTGTCAGATTGTCCACGTCTCAAACATGTCACGTTGGTTTGTTTCACCTTCAAATTTAAAACGTTGGCATCATATTCTCCATCAAAAACGGCCTTTTTGATTTTCGTTTCTTCTGAACATTCGGTGTGGCTCCTGGAGACTGCTCCTCGGAGGCCTGGGCCAGCCGTGACCCCATTGCCCACCACCGTGCCCAGTCTGCAGCAGGCAGCTTGTGCTCACACCGGGGGCCTCCCTGACGTTTAGTTACGGGGCCCGCACTGCCCTCCCGGCCCCAGGCTGCCTGGCTGCCACACCTCATGAGCCCCCACCTTCCCAGATGCCCACACGCAGCGACTGAAACGTGTCCCCATCACCGAGGGCGGAGGCGCACATCTGCCCCCACCCTGCCCATCGCCTGCAGCCCGAGAAGTTGAGAGGTGGCGCACACTAGGTGGTGCCCTCTGAGCTCCCTCGGTGAGGATGACCTTTTGTTCTGAAAAGGCCGTAGTTGGCACATCCCCTCTTCTGGGGTCCACCTGTCAGTGTTGGTACTCAGGAGCCACTTGAACTTGCTCCTCCGAGGTCCCGTGTCAAGTGTCATTTTCCGTTTGTTTTTCCATGCAGGAACGAGATAATTGTCTGGCAGATTCACGAGCTCTGAGCGCCAGCCACTCTGACCTGGCCTGCTGAGGGTCCGGCCAGAGCTAGATAGACCCTGAGACCCAAGAAGCGCCAAGACCCCCAGCCCTGCCCAGCCCCTCATTCTGCATAGGAGCCGCTAGCCTGGCCTCCCCGCCACGGACGCGCCTCCTTTTCTAGACAGTGATGTCCACCGCCACTGGACGCTGCACCTGTGCCCCTGGATCTGTTAGCCCTTCTGCAGCTTGGGGCGCGAGGGCCAGCCAGGGCGTGGTGCCCGGGCACTGGGCAGTCTCTGCACGCTCAGATCTGCCGGCTGCTCACGGACGCGCGCTCACTTTCTGCCATGACGCCAAAATCGATTTTAAGTTTTAATGGTATAATAGACTATCAATTAAGAATCCAGACTCTTAAGCTACACCCTTTTAGAATGACAAATTAATGATCTGAGGCAGTGACACCTGAAATGTAGAGGGAAGTGCTTGGTTTAAAGACGGGAGGAAGGAGTTAGCATCCTGCCGGGCGTCCTCGCATCTCCGCCTCTGCTGGATGCGCTCGCTGTCCCGTTTAGAGCTGGACGTGCCCGGGCCCCGCGCCCACACCCTGCACCCACCCATGGAGCGGGTTTCCCCTCTCCTTCGGCTCCTGTATGCTAAGTTTGTGGAGATTGTGTTTTACTTTTTAGTTTTTTCTTTGTAGTGTTAAGTAGCACAGGGTGGATTTTGACAGGATGTTTCCACATCCGTCCTGTAGCATCATTTCTGTAAGAAAGACTGACGTGCAGGTGAGGGGACTGTGACGTGGGTTACAGCTGCGGAGAGGACCAGGAGCTAGACTGAGCTCCAGTCCTGAGGCTGCAGCCCTCAAGGGGACACGAGGTCTGAGCTGTGGTCAGTCTGCACAGAGGTGGCACCAGGGCCCCTCGTGAAGTGGCCCTTCCCAGGCTAGAGCAGGTGGCGCTGCAGCCCGTGCTCACGCCTCTGCTTCCAGCTGCCGTCCGCTCGCCTCTCAGGCCGCACATGGCGCACGCTGGCCTGCGCTCCTGCGGCCCTTGGGTGACCCCCGGCAGGGCCTGGGCTTGGGGCCAGGGTGCTGGAGACGGCGCGTCCCACCAGGGCTTTGCTTTAGAGGGTCCACGTAGTTCAGTGATGTCCCGTCGTAGGCTGCGTGTCCTGGGGGGAGGGGGTGCTGACGACACAGCTCCCCGCACACCAGAAACTCACTTTCTAAATACTTTTCGCGAGACGCTGACAACATCGATGGCTCACGAGAAGACACCAAAAGAGAAAAAAGAGTCACCCCTCGGTGACGCTGGGGCGCCGTAAAGGCCACCCTTAGGAGCGGGTGGCTGGGGGTGCCTGCCACAGTGACGACCACAGAACCCCACCTCCACGTCTGAGAAGCTGACGCGACGTGTTTGAGACCCGCTTTCCCTGAGTGACAGTCCTCTCTGGAGAGTAAAGACGGGGCTGGGCAGAGGGCTGACTTCCCAGCTCCCACAGTGATGAGAACAGCCAGCGCTTAGCAGTGGTCCTGACCCACTCTGAGCCCTGGCCAGCTCCCCGAGTCATGAGCTGTCTCTGCTGCCGCTGTGAGGCCCAGCCAAGAGACAGCCTTGTTTCAGAAAGGAGGTGTGACTCGGGGTCCCTGGGGGCCTGTTTCAGAGAGGGGGTGCTACGTGGGTCCCCGCAGTACTGGTTGTGCACTTGGATGGACGTGGAGGTGGCCCAGGTTGTAGCCTGCAGTCTGTAGCCTGGATGGAAACCTGAGAAGAGCTGGGACTGGCTGTTCCCCCGGCCCCCCAGTCCTCCTGGTGAGGCCCCTTCACTGAGGCAGCACTGGTTTCTGCATAATTAGGGCACCCTGGTGGTGGACAAAGGCAGACAGACAAGCTTGTACAGGCAGGGGTGCTGACACAGCATGGGCGGGGGCACTGATGGAGGGTGTCAGTAGGAAGGTCCATTTTGTGGGGTGGAGTGGGGGCTTGGAGAGGGATTTTGGGGGTGGGACGTTTCTAGACCCTTCCTGCTGGGTCCCTGGCACAGGCTGTGGTGCCCCGCATGGGTGTTTACAGTATGGGAGGGAGTGCTCGGTCTTAGGTGTTTACAGTATTTGATGAACTCAGAGTTCTGGAATTTAAAATTCCTCTCACTTGTTTGGTCAGAAAGCTGCCAGGAATGTCATATTAGAAATCCAGAGTTTATAGGAAGATACATATGTTGCTAAGGATACAGAAGTTTACGGAGTTCTTGTTGTCCTAAGTTGCCATGGTTACGTCAGAGGGCACACTGTGCCTACGCACCTTCTGGTGGGTTCACATTCGCACTCAGGTTTGAGCAGTGCACGGACCTGACACTGGAGGACAAACAGCACTTACTGTTCAGTCAGCACCGCACGCACAGCACGGTCGGCTGACTGGACGCGTCATAAAGATGAGGGCTGGTTAGACTCGCTCCCCCAGCGGGGGGCTGGCGTCCTGTCAAGGTGCTGTATAAACGATGGGGAGTTACCCCAGGGATCATGGGCACGGCGTCCCTGAAGATGGGGCTGTGGCCGAGCCTCGGGCGAGTGGAGACATCAGGACGCGGCAGCACCGAGCAGGCCCGGTCTACCTGCCCGTCCGCCGTGGCCAGCTCCTTGGAGGGCCCCCCAGACGCAGGCCCAGGGACTGTCAGTGCTGCTGAGATGGCTCTGTCTGCTGTCCCTGGGCCTGGGGGCTCCCGGGAGGGTCTACTGAACACTGTCTGGGAGCTGGGGTCTTACTTCCTAAAATGGTGGCGTGACTCACTTAGAAAATTACTGTTGTTTACATTTAACTACAAAAATAAAGTGTTTATTTCCCGCTGCGCAGCCCCTGCCCCTCCGTAGAAGACTTTTGTAAGGTCCAGCCCAGGGACATTTTCCCGTCTTTACACTGGTGACCGAGTCTTCTCAGGGTCGTAGACCCCTTTGCAAACCTGACGGGAATAAGTGGACCCTCCAGGCCTAGAAAGATGCAAACGAAACCTGTGCACCTTCGCGGCCCCCAGTGCCAGCCCAGGGTGAGAACCACTCTGCACACTCGTCTGACCCCCGCACCAGCCAGGCCTCCGAGTCTCGTCACAGCGGGGGAGGGCGGCTAAGACACATGACTGTTCTGTGCCTCGGTTTCCCTGTCTGAAGATAGGTAACAGTTCCTGCTTCCAAGGGGCGTTCTGAGGGGGCGCGAACCAGTGACATGAGTCTCCCCAGTGGGAGCCGTGCTTGTCGTCTGACACCCCTTGGGGATGTGGCCCAGACGAAGCAGGCAGCGTACTGCGGGAGGGTCCCACTGTCCGTCTGACCAAGGTGCAGTGGCTGGTCCTCAGGGCGGCTCTGCCTGAGTGGACGTGGTGCCAGGCTCCGGGGAGGCGCTGAGGACAGCCGGGCGGGAGGGTCGCCTGTTTTAGAACAGGCCAGCTGACTGGCCTGCCTTCCACACGCCGGGACACATGGCCGCTGTCCAGCCTGGGCAGGTGGCAGAGGTGACAAAGCAAAACAGACCCCTCCCGACCCGACAGCCACGGTCGGCTGTACTCCTGCCTGTTCCGCCGGGACACCCCAGCTCTGTTCTGGTACCCACCCTGCCTCCAGTCTCTGGGTGCAGCCTGTGCGGAGGGGGTGGGGGGGGTGGGGTGAGGATGGTGGCCATGTTCTGACAGCACCCCGCTGCAGCCCACGTGGTGGCAGGGCAGGCTGGGCCAGGAGACCCCGGGTGACCTGGGGGTGCTGCTCCTGGGCTGGTGATGGAGACAAAGCTGCTTCCTGTGAGGCCCCTGGGGACGGGGTTCCCACAGAACCTGCACTGTCGCTGTAGGAGCCCTCCTGAGGCTGAGTCCTGGTGGATCCCTGTGTCTCCCGTGGCAGTGGGTGGATGTGCACGTGGCCAGCCACCCAGCTCTCGGCCATGGGGTTGCCTACGTGGTCGTGGCCTTCCTTCCTGTGGAGGAGATGGAGCGGCTTTTGGCACAAGGAGAGGTCGTAACTGTCCCCAGGGGACAATGGGTCAGAGCTTTAGGTCTTCAGTCCCCCGAGGAGACATGCGAGCCTCAGGACCTGGCCAGGCGGACATTGTGTCAGCAGGACTTGGTCCCTGGCGTCCCCCGCACACCGTCTGCGCTAATGATGTAGGAACACGAGGTGGGGGGCAGGTGGGGTGCGAAGACCACCCGCAGGGTGCGGGCCGGCGGGCCAGGCGGTGCCTCCTCGCTGTGAGCGCGCTCGGTCGTCAGCCTCATCAGGAGCTGGTTGGACCAGGTGGTCCCCAGGGCCGGAGAGACCCGCTCGTCTGAGAAGCTAAGTCAGAAAGCAGGCGACCGTCACTCACAGAGAAAGCAGGGTCCCCGCACCGGGCCCCTGTGCCCCTGGGGCTAGGACTCACCCTTGCGGCCCAGCAGGCCCCCGCTCATCCATCGTCTCTGTGACCTGGAAGATGAGCCAGGCATCTGAGCCATGCTGCCCCCAGCCCAGCCGGGGACCCAAATGGCACTGGGGTGTTGGGGGGAGGGGGCACCTGGTTGATGCAGAGCACAGGGGTCTGGAAGGTGCAGCTCAGGCGGCGAAGCGTGGCCCCGAGCGTCTGGAGGTGGCGAGCCCTGGTGGCCGAGGCCTGGCTGTCGAATTCACAGCGGAATGGGGCGGCCACCGAGTCCAGCACCACCAGGCGGGCCATGCCGCGTGCCAGCAGGACAGGGATCCGCCGGCCCACACACTCCAGCAGGGCGTCCTGGGGGTCGGGGGGCCAGGTGAGGCTGTGGCCCTCCACCAAGTGGCCAGCAGCCTCTGGTCCATGTGGACCCTGTGCTGTCCTTAGGAAGGGCCCCAATCATGCGAGTGCCGGCACCCCCCGGCACCCCCCCCCCGCCGCGGACAGAGTCACAGCCTCTTTGTGCCACCCACCCACCCTGCGGTGGACACAGCCACGTCACTGAGCGGACCCCTGGGCCCTTTGTGAGCTCAGCACCCCCTACGGAGGTCCCATGGCTGGCCTGGAGCCTGCGGGCTGCCCGGGTCCGGCTCGCCACACCCCCGGGGGCCCCTCCTGGCCATCTCCCTCCAAGGCTCCGAGTCTGGCCTATACCCCCAGCCTCTCCCCACCCCACGAAGAGTCTGGGGTCCCTCCCAGTCAGACCAAGTGGGGTGGGATGGCCCCACCTCCTGCTTCCTGAGCAGCCTGAGAAGCCACCCGCTGAGGGATGGAGATGGACATTGTCCTCCGGGTCCACCCAGGCTGCTCTCTGGAGAGCAGAACTTGGCGGAGCTGGGTGGTCGGGGAGGGGCCCTGGGTCGGGGACCCCGAGCTCTGTCCTGCCTGGAGACGGACCCCCACGGTCCCCGAGGTCAAGGCGCTCCCCCGTTTGCAGCACGGGTGGGTACCCAGCCATGGGCAGCACGTCCTAAGTGCCGGCTCTTGAGTGTCTGGTTCAGCTCCTGAAGGGAGGCCATCTCTGCTTCACCCCCAGGGCATCTCCAGCGGAAAACGACAGCGGCAGCAGCGGCCTGGAAGACGCTGGCTTTAACGTGAGTGCTGCACGCCCCTCACCCTGGGGAGGCGGGGCACGCGGGGACGGGAGTACCCGAGCTGAGCAGGGATGACCACACCTGGCCACAGCCCTGCATCTGATGTCGGGGGGCACGCTAGGGAGACGGGGCAGGCAGTGATGGTGCCCGCTGGCTACAGGGTGGGGGTGATGGTGCCCGCTGGCTGCAGGGTGGGGTCTGGAGTGGTCCTAGTGAGGGGTGTTCCCTGCAGAGGACCCCGTGCTCATGAGGAGTCTGGGGCCACAGGGTGGTGGGGAGCGGTGGGCACCCCCGGCTTTTGGCTGCAGGAAAACCATGGGCCATTACACCATGCTGTCTCGGCCACAGCAGGGCTCACTCGCTACAGACACGGGGAGTGGGCTGCGGGAGAGTGACCTGCCCTGGACCTGCACACCCAGCCCTCAGCTCCAGGGAGCTCACACCTCCCAGGGGAGAGCAGAGCAGAAAGTCAAACCCACCAGCAGCCTGGCGGCCCGGCCTGACCACTTGTCCTCTCTTTCAGTGATCCCGCTCTGCCCCAGGATGGCGCTGTGTGTGCGCAGCCTTGGGCCTGTGACAGCTGGGGGCACAGCCACCACTGAGGCTGGGAGGCCGAGAGCCCGGGCCGCGTTCTGAGGGCCTCTCCCGTGTCTACTGCCGTGAGCGCATCACTGAGAGTAGTCAGACACCTGGGGCCAGCCCTCCCCTGGACCCCTGGCTGTGGGGTGAAGATGGGCATGGTGCTGGGGACCAAGGTGGCCTGTGCCTGCTCCATCCCCACTGTGTCATGTGTGATAATGTATTTTACTGTACACTGTTTAAAAATTAAAAGTTTCTATGCCCTAGCCTTCATGTGAGATTCTCTGTGACAATTCTCAGACACGGGATGGCGTGCTCAGGCGCTGGGGACAGGGCGCCGGACTCGCTGTACTGGTTTGTTCTCAAACTTGCCATTTTTCCCTTGAATTCTCCCGGTTTGTTACTCTTTTCTCTACGGAGTAACCATCTCTTTAATCTGTAAGTCCGACCAGCTCCTGCCCAGCTGGACACCCTCCCCCGCCGTCCGTCCGTCCACAGGGAAACGACCTGCTTCCAGGTCTGGGCGGCCCTTGCAGAAGGAGGTGGGCGGTGGGCTGGGGGCCTGCTCAGAGGGGCTGGTGGGCTCGGGCGGGGCAGTGTCCCATGAGCGAGGGGGCGCCTGTGCCTGAGAAGGCTCCACCTGAGGCAGTGGACACCCAGAGAGGCTTCTCCCCCAGGACAGGAGCCCAGAGTGCAGCCCTGCACCCTGGACGTGTCATTTCCGGGGCTTCCACCACGGCGGGGGGAGGGAGGACAGAAGGTGGGGGAGCTCGTGCAGCCCGGGCCTTTCAAGGGGGCAAGGGGCTTGCACGGGTGTGGGGAGACGTGTCAAGAGGCCCTGGTGCCCAGGGGACCCTGCTGCCCTCCTGGACGCCTCTGCTCCTCCCGTTCCTCCCCCCGACGCCTCTGTCCCCCCCGCCCCCCCCGCCAGACACCTCTGCCCCCACTTCCCCCAGGAGCGGGCTGCCAAGTCACACACAGGACACCCAGTTTCATGGGAATGTCATACCAGTGCTGACGTCACACTTGGCGGGTGTCCCCACTGGTGCCCTGCACAGTGCGTGGACTTGTGGGGAGACTCACCACATCAGCCACGTGCTCCACGAAGATCTGATCCCCGAATCTGATCTTGCTCAGCAGCTCCCCTGGTACATCCGTCCGCAGCTGCGGCTGGTGCACGATCAGCTGCTGCAGACGCCGGTCTGGGAAGACATCCTCCGTGCAGATGTAGACGGCCCCTGGGGGGGAAGGACGTGCTGACCTGCACAGACAGCCCGACCAGCTGCCTGACGCTGCCCGTCGGCGTCCTGCACCTCGGCCTGAGGCTGGCTGGTCTCTGGGGCCCCCAGTTCTCATGTCCCGGAGGTCTCCATGTCCGGCCCCGCCTGGAGCTTCACTCGGGGGGTAAGAACTGCCCTGGCAGCCGCGTCCCTTCCTGGCTGGCCCTGCAGACGTGGCTGACCCATCAGGAGGCACCTTGGTCCCCAAACCTGCTGGCCAGGGCTGCTGTGTTCCTGCTGGCTGGGGGGCCGAACCGGAGGGTCCAGAATCAAACCGACGTCTGCACGAGGCCTGGCCCCACGCATACCCTGTGGGGCCCTCTGTCCCATCAGCCGTCTGCCGGACGGCACTGTCTCTCCCTGCAGTTCAGGCGGAGGGGCAGCTCTCAGGTGGCCTGGTCCCCTGGAAAAGGTGGGCAGTGGGTGCTTGGCCAAGCTGCAGCAGGAGGATGGTGTGTGGGCACAGGCTGCCACCACCAGCTCCTCACGGCCACTCTGTGGGGTCAGCTGATGACCCATTTCCAAGGCCGCATCCCCGTCCACCCAGGACCGGCCAGTGGGGGTGCTGGGCACCCATGGGGAGGCGGTGCAAGTGTAGGGGGCTGTGATGCCGAGCGCAGCCCTGTGTGAGCAGACCTCATGGAGTCCTCCCACACTTCTTCCCTAAACCCACTGCCGGCGTGTGTGGCGCATGCCAGTGTGGGGGTCAGTGAGCAGAGAGGACCAGCCTGGGGGACACGCAGCCTCAATGCGTACACAGGTGGGGTCCCAAACGGAGCTCCCCAGGGCACCCGCGGCAGCTGGCTGGAGTTCAGTGACAAATGCAGGAAGCAAAGCCAGGCCCGTGACGGCGAGGGGAAGGCTTGACTGGGGCTGGGACTCGGGGCCGGGATCCAGCCCACTTGGTCCACTGCATGGGGCTTCCGTCTGGGAAGTGAGTTGGGCCGGAAGCTGGAAGCGACCTTTAGTGAGTGAGGCAACAGGAATCACACGTCAGGGCCAGTGAACATCAAGGTCACTGAACATCAGGGTCACTCAGCGTCAGGGTCACTGAGCGTCAGGGTCACTTAGCATCGCAGTCACTGAATGTCGGGGTCACTGAACGTTGGGGTCACGGAACGTCAAGGTCACTGAACGCCAGGGTCACTGAGCGTCAAGGTCACTGAACGTCGGGAAGCCAGGGAGCAGCCGAGCACCAGGCTCACGGGGCCGTCCCTCCACGCTGTAGCAACTCCTTGAATTTTAACCTCGAGAGGCCCAGCCGGCGCCTGGAAACCTCCCTCTGGAGAAGGAAGCCTCCTCGCACCTTCACTTCCAGAAGCCCACAGAGCCCTGAGGAGGGCGGCCAGCTGCCCCAGGAAACACTGCAGGTGTGCACAGCCTGTCTCCCCCGCCCCCCATCCCCAAAAAAGAAAGTTACCGTCTTTCCTCGGAAGTTTCTGGCTCTGTAACCAAATGGTTTGCAGGTGAGTGCTGGGGGTGCATGTGTCGGCATGTGTGAGCACGTGCGTGTGTATACCTGCACATGTGCGGGCATGTGTGAGCACGTGAGCGTATCTGCATGTGTGTGAGCATGTGAGTATACGTGCACGTGTGCGGGCCCGTGTGAGTGCATGTAGGTGCTCATGCGTGCATACGAACATGTGTGCAGGCACATATATGTGCACGTGTAAACGTGTAGGTACATGTGTATGTCAGCATGTGTGCACATCTATGCGTGTGGGTGCATGTACGCGTGTGGGTGCATGTGTGAGCGTGTGGGTGCATGTACGCGTGTGGGTGCGTGAGTGCATGTACGCGTGTGGGTGCGTGTACGCGTGTGGGTGCGTGTTGATGTGCGTATGGTGCGTATGTAGTGTGTGTGCGTGCGCATCCGTGCATGTGAGCGTTTGTAGGTGTGTGCGTGCGTGCGTGTGTGAGTGTGCATATGTGTGTTTATGTGCACAACTCAGCTTGCGTACGTGCTGCAATCCCGCGGGTCAGCCCCATGTGCCCGCCCGAGTGGGTGCTCGGCCCTTTGTGCTCAGTGGTGACCGGCTCCGCTGGCTCCATGGACGGGGAGAGGCCTGGTCAGGGGGAGGTCAGTGTCCTGAAGACGGACCTCACCAGCCCCGGCTTCCGAAAGGCCCCGGCTCTGTGCCCAGCCTCTTCCCCCCATTCTGGGGGAAGGAGAGAAATGGGGGTCTCTGAACACAGACCCCAGTGCCGACCACCACCGCAACCTTCACGGGAAGCGGCCCAAGGACAGAGCAGGTGCGCCGGGATCCCTGAGAGCTGCTGAGTCAGGACCCCCACCCCCACCCCCACCCCCTGGGGGGGAGCGGGCACTCACCAGCCTCCAGGCCGCCATGCTGCCGCGGAAGCTGCACAGCCAGGCAGAGCTGCAGGGCCAGCTGGGTCTTGCCGGCAGAGCTGCGTCCGGCCAGCTCAGTGATGCCATCGAGAGGCAGGCCGCCTCGGAGCAGGCGGTCCAACACAGGGCAGCCCAGGCTCAGGCGCTGGTGCTGCCCAGGGAACTGCGCCTTCTGCTGGTACACCTGGAGTGCTGTGGGCGGCAGAGGGGGCATCAGGCGCCACTGGACCTTGCGGGCTGCTGTGAGCCAGGTCGGTGGGGGTGGGAGGGGAGAGGAGAGGCACCCCAGGGAAGCATGAACATGTGTAAAGATAGCCCACCTGGACCTGCACGATTGAAGGACTCCCCAGAAACCCCCACACAATGTACAACTGGATGCTCTTCTGAGAAATGAGGCTCCCCAGTGCCAGGAGGGGCTGTGGGGAAGAGGCCCTGGGGACCCCCGACGGTGGGTGGCTGGAGTGTGGAACGGGGCTGGGGGGCAGCACTCTGACAGTCTCACCCTCTGCCGCCCCCATTGTGAGCGCGGCTGAGTGGGCTTTAAGGGGCGCCGCGACCCTGACACGCAACGCAGAGACTCAGAAGCCAGACACACCCTGCAGCAGGAGCCCTGCCGTCCACCCTGGGGGACCCACAGCTGCCCTGCACATGCTGCTTCCCTAGGCCGAGGGGCAGCGCCACGGGCTCTCCCAGACTCGGGGGAGTGGGGTCACGGTATGTGCATACATGCATATGTGCACACATGTACACACGTGTATGCAGACACACATGCAGCTCTGCTAGTTAGCAGTCTGCGGCAGACTGTTCTAGAAGGCCCGAGGTCAGAGCCTCCTCCTGTTCAGCCTGGACACCGTGGGGTGGTGAGGTCACAGGTGAGGCTGGCAGAGTGCTTGGTGAGCCACCCCAGGCCAGGAGAACCAGGCTCGCCCCACGTGGGCACCTCCTCGGGCGGCCCCCAGCTGTGCTCTGCCCAGTGCGTAAGCCACAGGTGCCTCGGCGTGACCCCGCTAGTCCAGGTGTCCTATGGACGGTGGGCACCTACAGTGGAGGACCAGTCCCCAGGCCCGCTGGGGCCAGGCAGCCAACCCCTTCCCCTCCACTGCAGGCCAAGGCCCAAAGAGGGACTGGGGTTTCTCCCCACGGTGGTGGCCCCAGTGCAGTTATGTGCGGGCCCTGGGAGGCACCCACAGGTGGGTGGAGGTGACGGTGGAGGGGTGGGGGTTGGGGGTCGGCACGCACACCCAGTGATGGTAGAGAGGGTGGGGGATGGCGGTCGGCACCCACAGCAGCCCCGCCCTGGCCGAGCGGCTGCACCCACCTGTGAAGACATCGCTTCCCCGGAGGCACTGGGAAGCCGCCTGCAGCACCCGCCAGGCGTCGACGGCAGAGAGCCCAGTCAGCCGCTGCAGGTCTGGTCCAGAGAGACGCAGGACCTCCCTCGCTGACCGCAGCTGGGCTGAAAGCAGAAATAAGTGACACGGGAGACCGGCCCCCAGATGCGCACACAGCGATGATGAGAGCAGGGCTGGCTTTCGGCCCTTTCGACATTTTTACATGGATGATCCAGCGACAGAGGTCACACTCACCATGTTGTGTGACCTTCACCACTATCTGTTCCCAGCTTGTCATCACCCTTAACAGAGGCTCAGCGCCCCCCAAGCCACGACTCCGCTCCCCCATCCCCCCTGCATGGGGGGCTGGATCAAGTATGACCAACAGCACCTTTGAAACCTGGCCGCAAGAAGGGCAGGATGTGAGGCCAGGGCCGCGGTGGGGGGCAGGCTGGCTCGCCTGAGACACGTGCGACCTCGTCAGCAGCCGTGGACGCCAGCGGCCAGGCCAGCACCTCCCGGTGATGACAGGACAGCGCCAGCTACCCGCAGGCCCGCTGGACACGGCCAGCCACAGACAGGGCCTGCAGGGACACCGCCAGGCAAATACAAATGGGGGTGCTCCACCCAGCAGGCCTGTGTTCAGGCACAGCTAGAGGGCCAGCCTGGGGCCGAGGGGATGGGCCGCTGCGGGTCGCGACCGGAAGGGATGCAGAGCCCGGAAATGCAAACAAACACCAACTTACAAACACCAGCGAGATGGCCATTGGGGACGTTATGGGCTGAATGGTGACCCCCCAGAAAGAAATATGGAAGTCCTAACCCCTATACCTGTGGGCGTGACCCTGTGTGGAAACAGTCTTTGCAGATGTTATCAGTTAGGTTCACACGAGGTCACACTGGGTAGGGGGGTCCTGATGCCATGTGAGTGGGGTCTTTATAAAACGGGAGAAGAGGCACAGAGACAGGCAGTGGGCCGACAGCTCTGTGAAGATGAGCTGGGGCCACCAGAAGCCAGAGACTAGAAAGGATCCTCTAGGGAGATGCTGGAGGGGGCATGGCCCTGTTGATACCCTGAATTCTGGCCTCCAGAGCAGCAAGGGCATCAATTCCTGCTGTTGGAAGCCGCCCACGTTGTGGGGGTGTTATTGCAGCCCCAGGAAGCTCACGCAGGCGTAAAGAGAACAACAACAAGCTGGCATTGAAACAGACAGCAGCAGCTTGCAAGAGCTGGGTGGGAAGGATGACATGATTAGACAGCGGGAGGAATAAAGCCGCTGAAGGATTTGTATTTTGGGGAGGAGGATAAATAAATTTTAGGCTTGGATAAGTATATTACTTCCAAACTAGTAGAAAGAAATCAATATGCCCAACAATCCAAAAGAAGGCAAAACAATAACACACACGTGGAGGACAAGCAGCTCAGCACAGTATGGGACATTCAAACCCAAATCACGAGTAATTCAATTAGTACATACCCACTAACTGCTTTCGTTAAAAGACCCTCATCAGATAAATGCATAGAAAAAACCGTAAGTACTGATAACGCTCTTTAAAAAGATGCATAATTGCCTCCAGGAACAACTGCCTCCTTGGCCATGAGACCAGAAGAACCAGATGGTGCCCAGCTACCACTACTGAACATTTTGATCAAAGATTCCATAGAAAAACCCTGATCAAAAGGGGGAAAATGCAGAACAGAATTTAAAATTCTCATGGACTCTTGACTTTCTGGAGTCACAAAGGTTGGATGAACTTCTGAAACTACTGCCCTTAGATAATCTTTAAACCAAAAATACCCCCTGAAGTCTTCTTAAAACCAGGGCTGTGAACTGGTTCGAAAGGGTTCAGTCATGGCTGACAGAAACAAGGGCAGCGTACACCATCCTCCCTTCTAAGGAGCATTCTAGTTGTGCTTCTTCCAAGACAGATTTCTTCATTCTTCTGGCAGTCCACAGTATACTCAATATTCTTCGCCAACACCATAATTGTCCAGTTTTCACATACATACGAGGCAACTGAAAATACTATGGCTTGGGTCAGGTGCGCCTTAGTCCTTAAAGTGACATCTTTGCTTTTCAACACTTTAAAGAGGTCTTTTGCAGCGGATTTGCCCAATGCAATATGTATATAACTGATAGCACTGGTTAATCAAACACACAATAGGAACCCAGATGTGAATATAAAAAAAAACCTGTTAAAAAAACCCTCAAAAGTGGGGAGCAATTCCATTTCAGTCTTTAGATGACATGCATGTATTACCTTGATAACAACATAGAAGTATTTTTACATTTTAATATTTATATTGTATTTATGCTCATATATATTTATATACGTGCACCTGGAAATCCACTCTCGTACTGATTACAGCTAAGGAAACCCTATGGGTCAGTTCTGCTCTGTCCTGTAGGGTCGCTATCTGTCGAAATCGACTTTACGACACTCAACAACACATATAAGTATGGAGTCTCTGTGTGGTGCGAACGGTTAAGCCCATGGCTGCTAAGTGAAAGGCTGGAGGTTGGAGTCCACCCAGAGGCACCTCAGAAGAAAGGCCTGGTGATCTACTTCTGAAAAATCAGCCATTGTAAACCCTGTGGAGCACAGTGCTACTCTGACCTGCAGGGGGTTGCCATGAGTTGGAGTCGACTTGATGGCAACTCACTTTTTACATCTAAATGGATATGTTTATATATTTACATATTTTTGAAAATATAAGTTAAAGAAAAAAGGCAGCTGAGAAGCCTGCAGCACGAGCCAGCATCATGCAGGTGCCTGAGTCAAGTGTCTTTTCGGAGAGTAGGCAAAGGCGCGGATGCCAGGGCTCCGTTAGACTTGTCTAATATAAGGTGCATATATGGAGGTACGGATGCTTTACATGGTACGCGAATTTTATGTAAACATACATACCCTTCTTAATTGCTGCAATAATTCTTGGATTCAGGTCCAATTGATCCACATCCATTTCTTAGTGGCTGTCTGCAGAGATGAATAATTTCCTAGGACAGACAGAATGCGGACACGGCTCGCCCCAGGTCAGGCCCCTCGAGGGCAGCTGCGCACGTAGAGAAGTCACAGTGGCCTGTGGCACCCAGAGGCATGAAGCCCACACAGCAGGAATGGCGTTCGCCTCAAGTCCACAGTGCTGCTGGAGCAGCTCACATCTAAGCGTTCTGTCGTCACTTAGAAACCTGGACTCAATCCACATGTTCATGCGTTTGAAAAGCACCCCTCACCCCCGAAGGACAGCAGTGCCAGATGGCTGTAACATCTTGTCCTCTGCAGAAAAGACCAGAAGTAAGCGTGTCCCCGCCAGGGCAGCAGTGGCCCCCGGGCTTACCTCTCCTGGGCACGCGGGACGCTTTAGCGGCCCGTGATCCACGTGTTTTGGACTCTTGACTGGAGTACAGTTGCTTCTCCTGACATGGCCCCTGGGGTCCTGCAGGGAGTGGAGGAGGAGCTCTGACTTTGCAGGACATTTGCGGAAGCCACCCTTAGCGACTCTCGTCGACGCTCTCAGACTGTGCCTGGCGAGGCCCCAGGGGCTGTGCCTCCAAGCCCCCAGGTCCTCCACGTGGGGGACTAGCATGTGGGCAGCACACCCCTGGACGGCGAGCAGCAGCCCTTTCGCGGCCTGAGCCCTCAATGCAGTGGGAGGCACCAGAGGCCATCGGACTCAAGACAGGAAAACTGGGCATCCCCCTCCGCCCGCGGCTCCAAGCAGCCGCTCTGCATTCCCCTCACTGCCTCCCAAACCTCAGGGCCAAGGGTGGAGGGGGTGTGCGGGAACGCTGAGGCCAGCAGCCGCTGCAGCCAGACTCGGGTCAAGTTCCCGGCGCGAGGCCCCGTTCCCTCGGTGACTTGCAGAGTCCTGCGACCCTACCTCCAGGGAACATTCTGGAGGCATGGGCTTGAGGAGACTCTTCTTTGTAATGCTTAGAAGATAAGCTTGGATGATGTTACATTGTTTCTGAAATGCCAACCAGCCTACCCCACTCGCACCCACACACCCTCCAGTCTGCTCCCGAGAGGAGCCACTTGCAGAATCAGGTGACACAGGCTCAGCCACAGGGAGCACCCAGATGCCCAGACCCGGCCCTGCCGGCTCCAGGTCCAGAGCAGGGCCGGGTGGCAGGGGGAGGAGGCCGCAGAGCTGGCACTCCTGGGCAGACAGGCTCCTCTAACCACGTGCCTGCACCGCGGCTGCCGTGGAGAACACTGGCCTCCGAGGCTTCACCTCCCGCTCGCGTCACCCGGCTCCTGGGCCCACAGCCTGTGGGTTTCTGAGCCAGCTGGTGGCTTCCTGAGAATGGGGGACAGGGAGGTACCCCTAGCAGGATAAGTGTTGCCTCCAGGAGAAGCACCAACTTGTCAAAGGAAAGGCAGCTCTAAGTGGCCAGTTTCCAGAATGTGGGATCACAGAAGCCCTGACAAGAGGAGAGGGACTGGGGGTAAGCTCAGGGGGGCAGAGAACCACGGGGGGCAGAGAACCACAGGACACATTGCACCAGGGCTGTGCTGGGGGGCTCGGGCGGCAGAGGACCACGGGGTGCACTGCACCAGGGCTGCGCTGGGGGGCTCGGGTGGCAGAGGACTGGGGCATGTCACACCAGGGCCGCGCTGGGGGGCTCGGGTGGCAGAGGACCATGGGGTGCATCGCACCAGGGCCACACTGGGGGGCTCAGGGGAGCAGGACATGGCAGACTACAAATGATGGGGTTCCTAGCTCTGGAGGGCTGTGTGCAGAGTGTACCCTACTCTCCCCTGGGCTTGCAGAGGGCCCCCGGGCAGCAGGGTGGCCTCGGCTCTGGGGGTGACGGAGCAGCTCCAGCTGAGATCTTGGGCTGCATGTGGCTGGGAATGGGTCAGGGGCTGGCAGGGGGCAGCCACCACGGGGAATGGAAGCCAACTCTGATTCGGGCAAGCGGCTGGACATGAGGGCAGGAAACCTAGGAAGACCAGGGGTGACTGCAACCTGTCACACTGTGTGACGGATCACCCCAGACACCGGCACCCCTATCCTCTCGCCTCCCATGAGGAGCCTGTCCTGAGGGGCCAGGAGGAGGTGAGAGAGCTGTCCTCCACTGAAGAAAGGAGCCTTTGCCTATATGCTTCTTGACTCCGAACTGTACCGTTACTTCCTTCAACCATTCACCCGTAAGTATGGTCTGTGAGTTCTGTGCAGCCATTGCAACGGATTGTTGAACCCAGGAGAGCAGGGTGCCGTTGGAGGGCGGCTGGTCAGAACTGGTAAAAAGGGTTGGAGAGTGGAGGGATGTCTGACCTCTACCTCATGGGAATCAGCCTTGGGCTGACCTTGATTCGCACTACCCCCGCTAAAGTTTAGACAGGTTCTGATGCTACCATCAGTACCAGCAGGGTCCTGCAGCTCTACCAGCCTTTCCCCAAAACCACCAAAGACGGGAAAACGTCAGGGGCGAACACCTGTTAAACGTTCAGTGTGTTCCAGGGCCTGCCCTAGGCACTTGATGTACATGAAATCATTCAAAGCTTACCAGGACGCTATGCCGTCCCTTTTGCTAACAGGCAACGAAGCACAGAGTGGCTAAGTGACGAGCTTAGGTCACACAGCCAGAGAGGGAGCAGAAGGTTCCAGGGACTGTTGTGAGCATTTGGTGGGTGTCAACAGAGTCTGAGCTCTCGTTAGCGGCCTCATGTTGGGTCACCAAGTCCAGTGGGTCTGCTGGTCTCCCATCCTGCAGCACTCGGTCACCCAGAGGCTGACCGGCCCGGGGAGGGGGCGTTCCGTCCCTTTGGGGGCAGTCCAGTCTCAGGATTTGGCTTCTTTTCCCACTCCCCCATCCCAAGAACGGGCAGTGAGCCTCCCAGGCCCCCGGGGGACCCTCGACCACCTTACTCTCTCTTGGGCGGCCGTGTGGTCCTCCCCACGCCGGGGCCACCACTCGGGTTTCTCCACAACTGCCTGCCCGAGGCCCCGCCTCCTTGGCGTCTCAGGGCCCGGCTCTGTCCTTCTCAGGATCCTCCTCCTCTGCGGACCCCTTCTTCTTTCACCTTCTGAGCGACTGCGACCCCACCCCAAGGCTTTGATCACGCCCCATTCGCAAAGACCCCCGGCCTCGTCAGTGAGCTTCGGACCTGATGTCCGGCGG